TAAAAATTATAATTAAATTTGTTTTTATAAATAATTAATTAATTGTTTGCTTCAATCGTGAATTATTGCAATGGTTTTACGCAAATATCTTACTATTTAGTGTATGCCTGGAATAGTGTACCCAAACTATTACTGCCCCGTAATATACGGCATATGTATGTCTATAATGAATGAACGCTTACCTAAAATGAAATGAAAAATAGACAAATAATTAATTAAATGATTAAAAGTTTTAAAGCCATTAATTATATACTAATGGATATATTACTAGATATTAGCGTACGATATGTAAAGTATAAACAAATATTATTAATAAATACATCATAACTTATATTTAGTGTTCATTATATATAATTTATACACTAATCGTATGTATAATAAGACAATTGGTTTATGAAATATTGTTTGATATATAAAACTAGTCGTTAAACTGCACAATAATTTGTTGCCTTAAGAATATTTGCAAATTTAATAAACAAAATAATGTTTATATCAAATATATTTTAATATTATTTTACAACAAAATCAAAACCAAAAACATGTTAAAAAGTTTAGTCCATCACTACTTCCTATATTTCGAGAGAGAGAGAGAGAGAGAGAGAGAGAGAGAGAGAGAGAGTACAACGATAAAACTGATGATGATGATAATGATGGACAGGCACTGTTTAATAGTCAGGTAATGGCAGTTATAAATTACCCTAACTGTTATTGTTATGTCGGATCTCGGATTATATAATATTTTTTTTCAGCTACCGGTTAACCCCTAAACCTGTGGATACAGTTATATACCATACATGTGTTGATACCTATCAGCCGGCTATTTCACCGGCTATTTTCGTGCCAATGTGTGGGTTATAGGGATGTTGCGGGCAATCATCACATTAAATCTCATGTGTGTTTTATATATAGTGTACACCACTTGCATAGTATATATCCTTATCTGTGTGTTGATAACGGGATAGGTTGCGGACCGTTGTGTGAACACACAATTAGATTCACATTTATCTTATACCTATCGCGAACAGCACATCCCAAACCCCTTACATTACATAACACATGCCATACCATTGCCTATCCATTCCCTACCGCATTCCAGTCCAGAGAGAGAGAGAGAGAGAGAGTACATGGATATATCAAAATATATTATGTAATATGTTTTCCGGCACTGATTTATACCCATAAATGCGCTGAAAATGTTGAGTAGTTTTTATAAATATTTTTGCATTAAATAATATCAATTCGCATATAAAAGCCATAAAAATTATAATTAAATTTGTTTTTATAAATAATTAATTAATTGTTTGCTTCAATCGTGAATTATTGCAATGGTTTTAACACATGCCATACCATTGCCTATCCATTCCCTACCGCATTCCAGTCCAGAGAGAAAGAGAGAGAGAGAGAGAGAGAGAGAGAGAGAGAGAGAGGCTAACAATCAACACGATAAAAAAGTTATATATGCTTTAAATTGAAATGAGATATACACACACTGGGTTGGGATGTGATCCAGAGTGAGAGTGCAGGTTATATTCAGTCACTACTTATTATTATTAAATCATTTTGTTATATACGGTGAACACAATAGACTCCGAGAGCACACAACACAACAAACCATTATCTTATTTCACATTTTGATATCGTATTAAATCCGTTACTGAAAAGTACCGTAAGATTCACAATAAGTGATAGCGTTTTACTTTTGAGAGGATATTAATTATGAGTTCAGGTCTTTCGGAGAGACTTTCAAATCTAATGTAATATTTTTTTATATTCTTATATTATGTTTTGTGTTGTAATTTAGGATTCAACGAGATATCTTTGTGTGATATCATGTGAATAGGTATACAAATGCGGCAAAACTTGTGTCTCAAACACAACGGCTATCGTAAGTGCCGGCAGTGAATACATGGGATGTGTAGTCACATCATTAGCCATAGGGTTTGGGATCCATAGGAGAACCGCACAGTTGTGTCCATCGCGTGATATAACAAATGATATCAAATATAATACTAATGTAATTTAGGAGAGTGAGTGAGAGAGAGAGACTGAGACAACACTTTTATCTTAACTATAAATGGCATCAGAAATATAAAAAATAAGTTTCACTGTTAAGTAGGGGAGAGGGGCTGATAGGGGGCGAGCAAACAAACAAAACCAACTATCTCAATCTCTCTCACTCTCCTAACCATCATTAACCCAATGGCACTGAAAAATTATATTTTGACAATTAATGTGGAATCAAATTAAATCTCACAGTAAAATGCTATGGGAAGACGAGCACAGGTATGAACTACAGTACAGTTGGAGTGTAATGGCATTTATCGGTCACATATCGGTCGGGCGTGACATCGGGTGCCAACACAACTCAATTGTGATAATCATTGAATTTTTCTGTCCATTAATTACTTATTAATGATTTAAATAAGTATTGAAAGTAATTATCAATTCAATGAGGCGTCAGATTTAGTGTCACGATATACTGTATATGCTATTCATAGGCTTCGCATAATTCAATGCCTGTCATCCCATACCTGTCCCCATCTCCACCACCTGTGCCTCCCTTTCCCATTGACAGCCCAAGTGTTGACTAATATTTTCTCGTTTTAATCTAATAATAAATATATTTTTCGCTGTCTTTTTGATACATTTTTCATGAGACACATGTCTTATACTCTTTATGTCAATGAATTTATTGGATGTCTTATAAATGGTTATAATATTTCATTTAAACAGTAGTTAAAAGTTTTATAAATCAATGGGTTTTTATAAAGAAATGCATTTCATACATGTATAGTGAAAGTACTTTTAACTAGTTATTAATTTATAAAATAATAAATAAAAGTACATAAACTATAATTACCTAGAATGTCGATGAATTAAGCGAGTTAATAAATTTTAGTACCAAATTGGCCAGATCAATTTTCACCACTTATAATGTTGAAAAGTATTTGCCATAAGTTTAATATTAAAACAAATGTCATATAAATCCGTTAACAATGTTTATAGTGAGCACTGAATTGTTTTATTGAAACTTTAAGTCCAAACACAACATAACTTTCGCCACAAAAACAAAGTTAAAGTTTTAATAAAGTATTTTCGGGCAGAAAATCAAATTAAAAATCTATTAATAAAAGTTAATAATTGGTTATAACTATTCAGTACATTAATGGCAATCATAGGGTGTACTGAATGTATTAGAAATTTAACACAAATAACCGCAAAAAGTATATAAAAATTTAGTTCACAATAGAGAGAGAGAGAGAGAGAGAGAGAGAGAGAGAGAATGAATTGATTGCCTCTCGTTTTGAATATAAAACAACAAAAATTATTATTATTTGCAAAGAATAGAGAAAAATAAGTTTTTTCTTTTGGAAAAGTATTTTTCTTTTTTGTTACTTTTTCTCAAATAATTTCTCAAACATTTTGCCATTAATTCATAAAATCGGTGCTATTTTTGAAACTTCTTTAAGTATATACACGTCTGGACATAATAATCTGATTTTGTTTTTATTAAATAACTTCTCTCTCGATGGTTCAATCAAAAAGCTGTCTTCACAGAATTATTCTATGGATAATGGAGACTAATTTACTAATTGAGATTATTTATACACGTCTGGACATAATAATCTGATTTTGTTTTTATTGAATAACTTCTCTCTCGATGGTTCAATCAAAAAGCTGTCTTCACAGAATTATTCTATGGATAATGGAGACTAATTTACTAATTCTCTAATAAAAACATTGATAGTACCAATTAATTAATAAAGTTATAGTTTTTTCACTCTAAAAATTTTCCAGAGGTATCTTTTAGTTACCCTTAAATATTCATAAAAAATAAAATGATTATATTTTTAAATATTCAATGTTAATATTTATTATAAACCTTAATATTTTCACATGTTTAATCAACTTAAAGGACAATGATCAACAATGACCAAGTTTTATAGAAGCATTACTATGTTGGTATTTTTGAAAATGAATAGAAAAATAATTAATTAAAATCAGTTATTATAACCAATGACCACTTTTCTCTATTCCATCATGTTTGGGTATAGAGGTAGGTGATTAAAGATTATCAATTTATTACAATGTTATTTATTTCGTTCAAATATTCATTTTAAGTTCAAAAGTTCAAAATACTAAATTTTTATATCGTCTGAAGCATTGTATCAAAATATAGTTTCAATATTGACTTGATTATACACCATAGGATTAAAAAGTATCAATATACATAAACATAATTTGGGATACACTTATTTTCTAAAAATTGAAAGAAGCGCATTGGGATAAATTGAAATAAATGAAATAAATTTAATAACTTGAACAGTTTATAAATAACGTAAATCGTATTAAATTTCTAATCTTATAATTTTTAGACTCTGATCTCAAACATGATGGAATGGAAAAACGTAGTCATTGGTTACAATAACTGATCTTAATTAATTATTTGTCTATTAATTTTCAAAAATACCAACAGTAATGCTCCTATAAAACTTGGTCATTGTTGATCATTGTCCTTTAAGTTAATTAAACATGTGAAAATATTAAGGTTTATAATAAATATTAACATTGAATATCATTTTTATATTAGTAAAATAAAAAATACTTATAAATTCCCATTGATTTTCTATGGAGACCTTTTANTATTGAAATAATTAATTAACCATGATAGTTACAAAAATAATCTCAATTAGTAAATTAGTCTCCATTATCCATAGAATAATTCTGTGAAGACAGCTTTTTGATTGAACCATCGAGAGAGAAGTTATTCAATAAAAACAAAATCAGATTATTATGTCCAGACGTGTATCAGGTGTGCTATGAATTAGTTTAAATAATTTTTAAAAATAATATCAATATAATAATGTTTCAAACATTTTATTAGTATTTATATTAATTGCTAGTTGTTTTGTGTAATACTAAAAAATATTTTTAGTAGTGATAGAATAATTGGCTGATATTACCTATTTAATTTATTGTAAATATTTTTTATTATACAATTATAACGGTTGTCGGTCAAATATAAGGATTTTGTTGTTATGAGTATTTCTTAAACTCCCTAATAGGGAGTCCTTATACTTATAGATTATATACTTATAGTTATTGAACACTAACAACACGTTTGCGACCATCTGTACAGTTAATGGCATATATTTATTGAATCAATAGTTTGCGATCAAAACATTTTTTTGGGATACAATTACTATCCGTTTGTCACTAAAAATAACATCGTTTAAAATGTTAGAGAAAAAGAGAGAGATAGAGACTTGTTTAATATTAAACTTTAACAATTAATAATTAGTTTTTAAGAATCCTGAATAATGGTGTCTAGAAATATTTAATATAATTTTATTTAATTTTTAAAATTTTTATATGCGAATATTCTTGGACTCATACCTATCACTAAAGATGTTAAATACTAACACATGTGTAATGAATGAAAATATAAAAATATCTTATACAGGGTGTATATGATAGTTTGCCCTATCGTGTTTTTACATAGGAATACATTATAATAGTATACCAGTTTAAACATGTGTAGATCAGGCATCTGTAGTGCAAATTTAATAAACTCGGTTGTTTCAAACATGTATTAAATATACTTTATGTTTATATAATCAACAATTTGTATTTTTTAAAATCTGTTTAAAATGTACAAAACTGTTGAAATTATAGTAGTTTTGTGGTATAACTTGCATTGAAGCAATGCTTATTTATGAGGCAAAGTATCGTATACACCCTTCACACCATAATAAACGATAATCAATATAACATTAAATAAACATTGTACTATAAACTGTATAAAATAATCTTGTTTAATTTTAAATACCAATTTCCAAATAGTTAAAAGTAAATTGGAATTGGTGTGTAGTATGTGTAATAATTATTTTTTCAAAATTCGACATTTTCAACGATCATATACAAATCATAATTTAAACAATTAAATAAATAAAAGTATTATAAATATTGATGCAAATTATATTTTATCATATACGAATGAAACTTAAGAATCCCATAAATTTATACCAATTAGAATAGTCAACTATTAAAAACGGAAATTTATTTAAAATTACAGTTTGAATATCATTAATATAAAACAAACGCATAAAAGGGAAAATAGTAAATAACATAACATACAATAGGGGGTAAGAGGTTAGTGAAAACTATAGAGGGGGATAGAAAACAAGAGTGGGAGAGGGAATGGGTAACAGAGTTTGAGGGCTGACTCCTAGTACAATTATAACACAAACACGCAAATATAGAAACTCACGACACACTACCTTGAACATTTAAATACGTGGAGTACGACGTGTTGGCCACTCTATTGGACGCAACGCACGTGTAGTTACCGGAGTCGTCGGCCGTCACGTTGGATATGAACAGGGATTTTGAAAACACATCGTTTGCCGTAACCTTCACTTCGTGTCTACCGTCGGCGTTATGACCGGCACCGGGAGGGGTCGGGCGGACGGGCACATCATCTTTGAGGAACTGTATGCTGAGAGGGGCGTCGCCGTCGACCACAGCGCACGTCAACATCTGTCGCATACCTTCCCGGAGGTTAGGGGAGGCGTGAAAGGGATTGATTACGGGGGCCACCAATACCTCTATGTAGACATTGCCGTGAGCTGTCGACCCCACACCCCCTGAACTGCCTGATGACCCGTTCACTACACACCTGTACCAGCGCTCGTCCGTACGGCTCTCTATAGACTCGATGATGAGTGTGCCGTTGGTTAGGGTTCTTTGCCGGTGATTTTGGGGTAATTTTGTCCATTGGTTACTACCGGAGCCGATGAACCACTGTATGGACTGAATGGGATGGCCGTTGGCCGGGCAGTCGACCCGTACCGCATGGCCGGCCACTGCGGTTATGTTGTGGGCAAAGGGCCGCACGAATACCGGGCCCAACACTACCACACGGTTGTGGTGTACGGCTGTGTTCATGCCGTTCAGCGCCAGACACTTATATCTCCATTGAAATAATATAGAAATAGTTTAATACAGGGTGTATCACACATTTGACCGGCCGTAAACGCCTCTACTTACAGTCCGCCGTCCTCTACCCGGACGTTAGAGATGTTGACGTATGAGTTGACTACACCATCGCTGGACACGTAATCCCCTATACGGAGGCGCCAGTTGTCGGACACCGGCTGCCCGTCGACTGTCCACACGATCTGCGGTAGGGGTAGACCAGTGGCCGAGCACTTGAGCGATAGGGACTGACCCGGGCTGAGCGGTTCCAGGGGTGGGAAGGTGTGGGTGAAGTGCGGGCCGTCCCATACGAGGCTCACTTCGGCCGATGCGGTACTGCTTTCCCATTCGTTGCTTGCGATACATTGCTATGCGTTCAGAAAAATTTGACCAAGCTCATTGTTAGTGATGATAAAATTATAATAAGTAAATATTATTTTTGTTAAATGGTCTTCCTGGATGACTCTTCCCATTAATGCACACGAATAAGAATAGTCAACTAATAAATATTGCTTTATTATTTACCATTACAATTTGATTTGCAAATAGAGACTTATAATTTTAAATACATAGAATTTGATGCATGCATATTTGGGATCCATACAATTTACTTTGACCCGGTACCTATTAAATGAGCCCAAATTATTGTAAGGTTTGACACATAATCATGATAAAATATTATGAACAAGGTTAAAAATGTTTTATTTTTTAAAATAATATTTTTGATATATTATTTTGTGCTTAAGGTAGAAACTTATTCCAATAGAAATTGTACCAATAATTTCATTATTTTGATTACATTTAGAGTGAAAGAGAGACTGAATAAAGAGATTAGATTAAAAATTTTAATTAAACTCCAAAAGCGCTTTTAATACGGAATTTAATTTGAAAATCTTAAGCAATAAAATATTTTATACATTAATCAAATGGTAGCAAAAAATACAAAAGGATTTTGCATTCAGAGAGAGAGAGAGAGAGAGAGAGAGAGAGAGATAGACTAAATAAAGAATAAAGAGATTAGATTAAAAATTTTAATTAAACTCCAAAAGCGCTTTTAATACGGAATTTAATTTGAAAATCTCAAGCAATAAAATATTTGATGCATTAATCAAATGGTAGCGACAAAATACAAATGGATTTTGCATTCAGAGAGAGAGAGAGAGAGAGAGAGAGATTTTAAGCCTTAATTCGCGAATTCATTAGTGAATAGATATTTATAAACATAAGTCTTAAACACAATTCATTGAAACAATTGATTAAATTCAGAGAAAATCGACACAAAATGTTTGCATAAAAATCTAATTTAAAATAAATATAAAGCGAAATAAAAGCTCATTTAAAAAATCGTTGTATACTTTATATACAAATTGTTTTGTATTTTTACTCACATTAAAATACTTTAACGTGAATTCATTTGGGACTGAATTATAAAGATTATTTGTTTGCAAATTATTTTGATATAATATATACGTGTAATGTATTTAAAAGTTACTCATAATTAAGTGCTGTTTAGATATTGTGACAATAATAGCCATATTTATATATTAAACAATTTACTCTTATATTAAGGTAATTTCATTTTATCTCAATTATACATCATGCATTAAATATAAAAATAACAATATTACAAATACTTATCCCAACAAAAAAGTTAATATTTGTTATCAAATACAGTAAAAACTGTCGAAATTAATACAATATAATTTTAAAATATCAAAAGATTATATAGTATTATAATATTGGATATTCATAGAAAAATATATGTTTTAAATTATACATTTAAATAAAAATTACTCTTTCAATAAAGTAAATTTTTTAAAACATTTTATATGTATAATATTTTGAACTTTTAATTATACTTAAATATAAAAATTGGAACATAATTATTAAAGTTTTTTAATTTGCAAATTATTTTCGTATAATATATCCTTTAGTCACTAAAGTTTAGTGTATTTGAAAGGGACTCCTAATTAAGTGCTGTTTAAATAATGTGACAAAAATATTAGCGATATTTATTTAATATACATTTTAATGCTCTATCTTAGTAGTTTAAATTTATTTTATCTTAAATATAATGAATTAAATAAATAATTGAAAATATAAAGTATCGCAAACTTATAACACAATCAAACAAATGTTAATATTTGTAAAATATTGTACATTAACAACTGTAGAAATAAATCCCATCTAATTTATACATATAAATGTTTTATATTGTATAATAAAATTGGGTTATAAACATGAATCGCTTTTAATTTTAATACACAAAAACTTTGTCGTTTAATGAATTTATTGAATTATAAATAGTTTTATATTTCAAATTTTTGTAGTATGGATGTTTAAATTTTATTGCTACAAATATTTAGCACATGATAAAACATAACTTAAAATTTTATATAATAAGTTCATTAAATTATTTTAGTAAATTAATAATGTGAAATAAATCATCAAATCACCGATTAAAGTCATCAATAATAACATGATCATTTAAAACGCTACTTACATACATAGCCTGGTCCTGAGCGGTCACTTGTCTGATATGCAGAGAGTGTTCATTGAATAGTTTGATGCGATTATTATAGGCAATGGGTTTGCCGTTGCGTTTCCACAACACGTATACCACGGGTGCGCCCAAAACACTGCAGTTGAGCTCTACCGTATCGCCCACTCCTATCAGCACATGTCCCGGACTTACCACAACTATTAACGGGGCTGTCCCGTGGCCGAGGGTTTGGGTAAAAAATAATATGTAATTAATATTTTGTGAATGGGTTTACTTTCAATTAAATTGTTTTGTAAAATTATTTTTTAAAAAGAGTTTGTAATTTATTTTGAATTAATTAAAACGGTTGCTGTCATAATTCCCATAAATTATAAATCATAATGCACTGTATTGTACAAATAACTAATAATTTGAAATTTACAGCCATTAAGTTTGTGATAAAATTGTATTTTTGCCTTAAATACTCCTATCTCTATTTTGATTATATGTCCCGTACATTTAAATTGTTTTTACTATTAATTAAATTATTTTTGTAAAATTGTTTTTTAGAAATGTTTGTATTTGTCCTGAATAAATTAAAACGTGTTGGGATAATACATGTATAACCATAAATTTTAAATCATAATATGATTTATTTATGAATAATATACATTTTTAAATTTACAGTCCCTAAGTTTGTCATAAAAATTACATCATTGCATTTAATATTCATTTTTAAATTTTTTTGTGAAATAAATTTTAACTATTTTTTATTTTAATTTAAAGAATTTGTTTCATTTTATAAATAAAAAATTTAGCATTTATTTTTAATTAATTAATACTTCTATAACAAGAATTGTGTGTACAACCATAAAATTTTGATATCATCTTCCTTTATTATATTTTTTAATTAATTAGTTTATATTTACAACCTATTACATAAAAATTGCAAATTTGCATAACATGCTCATTTTTAAAGTTTATATTTTAATTATATTAAAGATATTTTTAATTAAATTTTTTATTTCTGCTGTCAATTAAGTAATAAATTGGTGGCAAAGAAAAATCATAACTTAATTTAAAAATCGTTTAAAAACGCGGATTTTGACAGAATGTACAAAACGTATGGCAAATATTATGTCACAAGAATTTTTGAGATGAAATTTATATTTAAAAAATATTTTCTGGCATTCATTACAAGTGCTTTAAAACGCCTAAATAATTGTCTGTTA